CCCCCCCCCCCCGCCAACGCCACCTCCGAAAAATCATTCGTAAAGCGGCGGTTGTTATTTTTACGAGTTTTTCATCTGGTTTTGTTATAATCGTGGAAAGTTATCGTATAATCCAGGGCCAAAGCCTCATCGACGACTATTATTTCTTATGCCGAGCGGAAAAGCATCGAGGAGTTCTGGAAAGCGAGTGTCCACTAAGTACGACGATAAACGCACATAAAGTCCGCGCTTTTTTTTTTTTGCTACCTAATCAATTACGGTCGTTAAATTGGTAAGCGATTAAAAATACGCGCTATAAATTTATTTGCGTAATAAACCACATTATTGGCAATAGTATTATTTATTATGAGCTGGGAGCTGAAGAAAAAGCTGTATTGGAAAATTGAATTGTTAGAAATTTGAATAATTAGCCGTGCATGCTTGGCTGGACATTGCCAAATAAACAATATTAATTGCTATTCGAATTAATCGTCGGGTGATTAAGAAATGCCGATTTACTTTTAAACGGTACCGTAAAATATTTCAGGTACTCAGACTACAAGTAACGCCCAATTTCTTAATAAGTTAAATTAATCTCCCATGTTCCTTTATTATATCCAATTTTATTCCTCCTGATAAAATGCCTTATAATGACCGTAATAAAAGCAAGTATAAATTATTTATTTAACTAATTGAGTTTGCCGAGAAAGTTCCTTAATTGATGGAATATTTTAGAATACTTGATATAATTGTACGGGCTCTCGTGTCATAAAAAAATAAAACCCCAAAACATTATCTTATTCTCTAATGTGTTTGTTAAAATACATTGGGAAACGGATGTTGGGTGGAGCGGAGTGGCGAACGGATGATCGTCAGATCGGGGTATCGGTGAGAGGGTTGAGAGGGGGTGGTAGTCGGGGTAATACGGCAGCCTAATCGTGGACGGTTCAAGTAAGATTCTTAGATAGAAGTTAAAAGTTTATTTGCAAATCAACGTAGGGACTCGAAAGAAATGAGTGTCGTATGAGGGAAGACTTTGAAAAATCGTCTAACAAATTTTGATAATCAATTTCTGACTTAACACGATCTTCTAAATTAAATAAGAATCATCCGATAGTACCGATCGATTACTTATTCAACTCATGCGTATGAAAGAAAATAGAAGATAGATGACGCGGACTTGATTCCCATAATAAAATAGATAAAATACTGGGTCAAGATTTTTCCCCGAATTTTATTTTACGGTTCTATTAGCATCTGAAAAATGATCCGTTTCACAATTAAAAAAATCAGGATATAACGTTTGAAGAAATTTGTTTATGAATTTTCCTTCAACACTCATGTTTACATTTGCGTACATTGCTCGTTAATCTCGTACCATGTAAATACAAATATTTCCCATCCCTTCTACCCTCACCGAGCCAACAGAATAACACAATATATATTAAAAACATACCATTGAACTTTCTCAAAATAAGCATTTACTTGACTCGACTCGACGCTTGAAAAATGAATATTATCGAATCGAGAACGCGGACGCCTCGTTCCACCGCACACACCGCCGACTTCTCAACAATCTCAGAAATCCTCTAAACAATGCAGTCATTTGTATAAAGTCTTGGCGTACGGAACCCGTTTTGTCTTCAAACGAACGCAATAAAAACACGATAGATCATCTCGATAACAGTCGGCTGGTTGTAAAGAAAAAAATTATCCGGCACTAGAGTCACGAACGTAAGGCAACAACGGAATAGCTAGCACGTGTTACGATAGCAAGCGCGATTAGCCGTAGTGAGCGCGTACGGTGAGGAGAGATTTAGGGAGACGTTAATAAGACGATAAAGCTGTTGGAATCCAGAAATTCATACGGGAGGTGACTGCTCGGAGGAAGGGACATCGGTAATTGAATATTCTCAATAGAGGGGGCTGAGCGAGGCACAGGAGAACCTCGTCGTGATTGGAGTGCAATGGATAATCGACCGAGGCGCGTATTTCGGTTAATATTCAAGATTAATAAGTGGCGCGACGTACGGTTCTTTCGTCCGAACCTAATGGCTTTCCGTTAGGGAATGTTTTTCAATTATCGATTTCGAAATCAATAGACCGAGAGCACAAAAAGCCGAACGAGCGTCGCCCGCCGGCGTGGCGGACCCCCATCCGAAAAAACCTTGTGTCGCTCCCATTCAAATTTCAGCCCAACGAGCATACGACCACGACTCGAAGGAAACGGCGTTTTTGATTCGAATATGCCCTTGTGTCACACTTCGCGTAGCCAGCCAGGCACACACAGGCAAGCGCCGACAGGCAGGCAGACAGGACGGATTTTTCGACGGATCGGGCACGAAAAATGGACTCGACACGGAAGCCATAGGTTGAATAATTATAAGCCGAGAGTAGAAAATGTCTCCTGGCGATAGTCAGCGATCGGCGAACTTGCTCGGATAAAGAGAGCAAGGAGCCGAGAGGACGAACATTAAACGCGATTAAAAAATAGAAAAAGAAAAGAGATGAAAAGTCGTATGGCCATAAAGGCGCACAAGGGCGCGATCCTTACGATTCTATCGCCGGGGAAACATTTCATCTGATGCATCCGCGTGGAGATACTGAAGTGGTGGTGGAGCTCCATGTTGCTTGCGGTGTGCCGTCCTCGGCTCGGGCCTCTTATCATTCGTCGCCTCGGATGACGGGGCCCCACGTCCCTGGCGTGCCGAGACAATGAGCCTATGTTCCCCACGGAGCGGCTCCGACGCGGCACACAAAAGCACGCGCGCACACAATCACAATAATAAATAATACACAGGCCGAAAAGAGCGGCCGATAAATCTCTGCTGCGCAAAAAGACCGGGGAATTGCGCGGCTCTCGCGCACTCACTCGCGCCGGACGAGCCGACT